TACGGATCTAACCTCCTTTTTCTAGAGCTTCTGCAACCATTCATTTTCCTTTTTTTTAATCTTTCTTTCTTTTTGACTTCTACTGCTTTCCTCTATTTTTTTTCCCTCTCTTTTATTTTTTATTTCCCCCCTAAATTCATTATTTCTTTGCTACATATTTGTTTCATTTATTGATGTTCTAAGTATACTTTGTTCAAGTAATATTGTAAAACAGCATCTGAGGAACTAACACTTTAACAAGCTCTGCTTCTAGTTAGTTCCTCCTTTCTCGTGCTATTTCTATTATATTTGTCGTTTCATTGTTTATTTTTTGTAATATACGTATTCATTGTATTATGTTTTTCATCAGAAATTAAAAAAAAAAAAATCATTTGAAACACACCCTAAGTGAGGATTTAGCGTGTTTTTTCTCCTGACTACACACCCCAAACGAGTAAATCACAAAAGTGTACTCCTAAACAAGTATTGTAAAATTGTAAGCCCTTAAGCATCTTGAAGTGCGATAGGGATTACCATTAAAGTTGTTGACAATGTACACAAAATAATCAAATTGTGCTTCTGATGTGAAATTCACAATGTAGGCCTACACATTTATTTCAATAGAGAAGCAATTACATCAACCTGTACAATATCAAATGGGTTTAATGCATATTCATCATAAGTCCTTTCTTTGAAAAAAAGAATTAAATTTCAAATTTGATCTATTTGATATAAGTACATGTAGTGTTTACAAAAAGTACACAATGTACAATGAACAGTTACTATTATACTATGCAAAACAAAATCTAAATGTATAATACCTGAGGACCACATATACACATTTACCCTATACCAATAACACCCATCCATATCAGTAGAGGGCATCCAATATATACAAGAAAGTTGGTGACTTCTGTATGAATAATAAAATAAAATATGCTTTCTCTTACTTTACACCGACATTGGCATTTGAGGGTAGTATACTTTTGAGCTACTTTTTCGGCTTTTGTCTTAGTGGGGATTGTTTTAAGGTTGGGTGAGGAAGTGCGGACCAGCTATAAGTTGGCCTTAGAGAAGCATTGCCTTTACAAGTAGAACATGGTTTGACCTGGGATCTGGTGATATTGAGTAATTTTAAGTTGTGTGTTTAGGGCTCGTGTTAGTGTTTAACGTACACTAACACTAGCCCTCAGCACCGAAATGGAAATCAGCTGGTGTTAAGGCTTTGACCTCTGAATATCGTCAACTTCCAGTAGCTAGCGTTATTTGCTGAACCGAGGGACGGATCCAGCCGGCGGCAAGGGAGGGGGGCAAATAGGGGGCCTAATTTCTGAGAAATATTTAGCGGCGAAGCAGCCAGCCGGCGATTAAGCGGGGGGGGGGGGGGGGGGGTAAGAGCACTATTAAAAAAAAAAACTCAACACCCACTCACCCCCCCCCCTTCTTGAGCTAGGGGAGTCAGGGGAGGAGGCCACCTTTTTTTCTTCAAAAAAGGTTAAATTTATACGTTTGGGCCAGGGGAGGGGGCCTGGACCTCCGGCCCCCTAAAGCCGCCACTGGCTGAACCAACCTTTGTGGCTCGTGTTAATATTTTACATACAAATGTCCTATTCACTAACACTAGCCCCTAGGGATTAAGCAAATATTGATTTCCAGTTCTGTGTGAGTGTTGTAGCCGCACAACAGTCTACGCACGAACGACAGTAATTTATTGTCTGACGGTTAAATAAAAATGTGTGAAACAAGTCCTTTACTATGTGATTCATACATTCTTCTTCGTAAAATGAGTTATTTTGTTAAGACCAGAGAAATAAGTTTATATTTATACTAAGCTTTCCAAGATATCTTTAGTTTGTATGTACTATTATTAAATCACCTTCGTGAAATCAGGACTGTGTGGCGATGTGACCGTGGTGATGTTTTTTACTTATTTTTATTTTTCTATTTGTTTTCTTTTAACATCATAATAGTTTAGTGTATTTTAAGATATCCCTATAAATTAACATATTAAACGTACATGAAAAAATAAACACCTTAAGCATCCAACACCCATGAATGGGAACCTATGTAAAAGACAAACAAAAAACATAGAAACAAATAAGCATACACTTAGTCTTTAACAAAAACATGAGAGAGAAAGAAAAAGTAGAAGCATAAACAAAACAAAACAAAGAGCTTTGTGGCATCCAATAAACATGTTTTGACACTCATGACAGTCTCATTTTCCTTCATTCTTCCTTATTACAAACTTTATGAATAATATCAAAGCTTAAAAAGACTATATTTTAAATTTTCCTACTTATATGATGGATTCCTACGGAGTTATGATCGATTGCCATTTTGTATTCTTGACTTTTACTTTCTAAAAACATCCTTTTGTATTTCTGTCGTAGAGGGTGCTCCTCTCTTTTCCCAACTGCGTTAAATCATAAACTTGATCAGCAGAATAACATGATTCACTACATTAAAAAAAACCTATATTTGTATGATTTATCCCTAAATGAACTTCTTTCCATGTCAGTTGTTTTAGTATTGGACTATATAAAGCGTTTCCATTTCCATCCATTTTAGTTGTGTACATTTAAATATGGCATGTCGGTAAGTTTTTTCATCTTTATCACTAAATTAACAGTTATTACTTTTTGTAAACGGAAAACGATATAAGTGATGATTTGTGTAAATTATATTGTACAATATTTTTAATTGAAACTCTCGGAGTCGGCTATTTAGGGTATATTGCCTTAGTCTAAAATAGATCTGCTCTATTTCTTGAATCGACATATTGTGGTCTGAAGACAGATTTTGAAATGAAACGGATACAGTGAATATACGTTTTATACTTGATTCGTAGATCATGTTTGATGTAACATCCGAAAAATTATATATCTTTTGGAAAAAGTAGAATTCAAGAACTAATTTGATATCATTTGGTCTATGCTTGAATGCAATACTCCTCTTCCAACTACAAGGAATAGTATTATATATTTGTTATATCGTTAACAAATCCTCTGTTTTTAAACCAGAGTTTTCAAATATTTCTGTACCTTCAAATTACGATCGCCTTCCACGGTATGGTGAATTATATATCTATTGTTAAAAAACAAGTTCTCATCAAAGAAAGTTGTCCCATTATACTTAATATATTTGTTATTAAAAATAACTTCGTTATCTTGCTAATACTCATCTTTTCCCCTGAAATTGTCCATATCCAGCCAAAGTAAGACCATATCTTCATAATACTTAGGTAATACTAACTTAATGAAATGGTCTCATTAAGAATGATTGTGTTTACATTTCATACTTTGATCCCCTGTCAAAAGTCTTTTATCCACATGACTCTTTGTACTTTCACGAGTAGCCTGAAATGCATCATTTTAAGTCCCCCTTTTCCATATTCTTGATATTGTCGTTCTTTTTATTTCTCCGTTCCTTTCCATAAAAAATTGAAACAGGCTTCTTCAACTTCTGGAAACACCCATTCCGGAAAAGAAATGACTGAACAAACATAGGACAATTTAGATAGTGCAAATACCTTTAATGAATGAATTTTCCCAATTAAGGTTGGATCACGTTGCTTCCACCAGTTTAAACGTTTTTTTGATCTCACTGAGAATGTCCTTATTATTCATGCTTTCCTTTATTTTGACGTCTAAGGAAAAATATATACGTAATATCTTTACAAAATTTGTCTTCTTCCCAAATGGGGGTTGACTTTCAATTTGTGTAGATGAACCTAAAGGCAAGATATACGTTTTGTCTTTGTTTACCTTAAGTCCAGAGGCTTTATAAAAACTATTAAATGTGTCATTCATGATTTTGCGTCTTGTAAAACAAATTGTAATATCATCAGCATATATTATTTGATTAACTCTTTTAGTACCAAATTCAATACCGTTTATTGCTCTATTCTTACGAATATAGTGGGCTAAAGTTTAAATGCACACAAGGAATAAATATGGTGAAAGTGGGCCTCCAGGTCTTACTCCTTTTTCAATTTAAAAATGACTGTTTGACATATTTTCAATTAAAACAGTGGTGCTAAGCTATTGATATTGATGTCGGTACCGGGCTCTTAATTTCATCAGCAAATTTCTAGCTCGATTTAATAGCTTTTGACTGCTCTAAACACTAACACTAACACCCAACTGGGAAAGCACTCACTGCTAGTATCTAGACAAGGCTAATTTTGTTACGCTAGTACTCGCTGCTAGACATTAACGTTAGATACTACTAGGCTTACAGTCTATATATTGCTGTGGTATGTTAGTCAAGATGGCGACAACATTTGGTTCATTGGATTCTTTCAATGGTGCCATTGGGACATGGACTAAGTACGTTGTGCGGATGGAACATTTCTTTGCAGCGAATAATATTCCCGAGGGGAAAAAAAAAAGTTTTTTTGTTGCCGTCGGTAGGAGCTAAGATGTACAAGTTGATAAAGACATTTCTAGCCCCAAGCTTTGGGGCTTGAAGCCCAAGCGAGAACAAACCAGGTTTCAAGGGAAGAAAAGTGGATACTCTACAATTCACCATACCCATGGAGTCGAACGTGAGGATGAAGAAGAGTATGATGTGCCTACTTACAAGCTCTTCACACAGGGCAGTAATCTGTGATCTGCGATGGGTGAACAGGATTTCAGACGTAATTGGTCTAAGGATGAAGTTCAGCTGATGGAATCTTTAGCTCGCATCAAAACATACACAGGGAAGACGATCAGAGTTCTAGGGAAATGTTATGTCAAAGTGATAAGTCAAGGAAAAGAAGTAAAGCTCCCCTCTACTGGTTGTCCCTGGAAATGGCTCCAGTTTGCTAGGTCGAAACTGGCTTGCTCACATCCGCCTTGATTGGAGCGGAATCAAGCTAGAACATGAAGGAGTTTTCTTATTTTTATCCTCTGCTTGGCAAATATGTCGACGTTTTCCAGAAGGAGTTAGGTGAGATCAAAGATTTGGAGGCTAAGATCTTCCTGTAAGAGGGTGCTACTCGTCGCTTTTTCAAAGCTCGACCAGTGCCTTACAGCATGAGAGAGACAGTAGAAAAGGAACTTCACAGACTGCAAGCTGCAGGAATCATCACTCGGGTCGAGTTTGCAGATCGGGCAGCCCCAATTGTCCCCGTAGTGAAATCTGATGGTACTATCCGAGTATGTGGAGACTGCAAGATGACGGTCAACCAAGCAGCAAAGGTTGACAGATACCCACTCCCGTTGATTGATAACTTTTTTGCCCAGGTTGGAGGGGGCAAAATCTTCACGACTCTTGACATGTCATATCCTACTAGTAAGTCTATTTTAATACAGGAAAGTTCTAAGGAGTATTCAACAATAAATACTCATATTAGCTTTTCAGATACAACATGCTTTCTTTTGGAATTTCTTCAGCGCCAGGGATCTTTCAGAAGTCTATGCCTTTGCAGGGTCTTCCAGGTGTGGTAGCCTATCTGGACGACATTCTTGTGTCAGGTGAAACACAGACCAAGCATGAAGAGAGCTTGGAAAGAGTACTTCATCGCTTCCAAGAAGCTAGAGTGCGTTTGAAACGGGAAAAGTGCGTGTTTGGTACAACAGAAGTGGTCTATCTGGGCTATAACATAGACGCGCAAGGTCTTCATCCTGTTGAGAACAAGGTTCAGGCAGTACGAGATACTCCCAGCCCATCAAATGTGTCAGAGGTAAATGTCTACTTAGGTCTGCTGAATTACTATGGCCGGAAGTTAACAAGAAAGCAAGAGAAGGCTAATACAAGGAATCAAAGCAGTTACATCTCACATCATAAGTCTTGTACACTATGAACCTAAAAACCGTTGGTGTTTCATGTGATGCTTCACCCTATGGGGTAGGGGTTGTGCTGTCTCATCAAATGGACAACTGTGAGGAAATACCAATCAACTTTACATCAATAACATTGTCTAAGGCTGAACTGCGTTACTCTCAGCTAGACAAAGAAGGTTTTGCAATTAGGTATTGAGTAAGGACATTCCATAAATATCTGAACGGACGCAAGTTCAGAATTTTGACATATCATAATCCTCTGCAAGGAATCTTCGGTGAAGCAAAGGGGATTTCGCAGATGGCTTCTAAAAGGGTTCAGCGTTGGGCACTGACCCTGGCAGCATACGACCGGGATGTACAAATCGGGATGAACGCAACAGAATGCGGATGCCCTTAGTCGTCTACCAGTGGATGAGCTCCAAGCTTGGTACCTGTACTAGGAGATATCATCTCCTTACTGGAGTACATTGATGGTTCTCCAGTTACATTGAAGCAGATTGCTACCATTACTATAGGCGATATCCAATCCTTTCAAATGTGTATCAACTTCTTCAAAAGGGTTGGGCAGGAGCATACAAGGAAGAAACGTTGAAGCCATACTACAGTCGCTGGAACGAGTTAAATACAGATAGTGAAGTTGTGTTGTGGGTATCCAGAGTAGATGTTGTCCTACGTGATGTTATCCTACGCCAACTTCATGAAGGTAACCCTGGGGTTACTCGCATGAAAGAAGTGGCCCGTAGCTATGTGTGGTGGCCAGGGATGGATAAGCGACTAGAGGACACCGTCAAATCGTTTTGTCAGTGTCAAGACCATCGCCGCAACCCACCAGTGACTCCACTCAACCCATGGCCTTGACCAGAGAAGCCTTGGTCAAGAATGCATGTGGACTGTGCTGGCCCATTTATGGGAAATATGTTGTTAGCAGTAGATGCCCACTCAATTCGATTGAGGCTATTCAAATGGACACCAGTACTTCACAATTAGAAGTACCCCTGCTTGTCTGCACTCTTTCAGACTACTTGAGTCCTACTGCAGCAGTCCTACCTGTGTTAATTGTTGCTGGTGAAGACTCATCACCTATTTTAGTCTAGTAAAGTAGTATTAAATCCTACTCCAGTCCTACTCCTACATGTGTATTTTTTAACTGCTGTTCTTTTGCAACATAATGTACATGTAGGGTAAAAAAAAAGAAGCTCTGCGTCCACGTCTAAAATCAAACTATTCATCGCTGGTGGGGTGATGAACGCCAAACACCCCGCCCTCTTGTAATGTGGGGAAAGGAAGTTTAGCTACCCCGTTATCTTCTCGCATATGTGATGACAACTTCAGTCCTGATCAGGACTGGGATCACTTACAGTCAATTGTTGAAAAAGCAGTCGAGAGTGCTATAATGAAGTAACGGCAGTCTTATACCAAAACGCGATTAGTGATATCTTGGATGAGAAGACCTGGAGGTAACCATTGATACGAAGCTCCTCCAGGAAAAATACGTGGACTTGAAGCGACATTGGAAACCACTACAGTAGATGAAGGATTTAGAAGCCAGGCTAGACCATATCGACCAGTACTCGAGCCGCAACAGCATACGGCTCCTTGGAGTCAAGTCATCCCCTGGAGAGACACCAACCATGTTCAGTTTACTCTCATTTCGTATATTTGCAAGTCACCAACTTCAGCCAAAGGCTGTTCTTCTGCAGGTCCGATTAACATCGCCAAGCGAATTGGAGTTGATCTAAAGATCGAATGCATTGATCGTTACTCCGGATCCGATCTCGTTTCTCACAAGATAAATACCACTCAAGTTACAGTCCTTCCAATTCCCGCCCACCACCAATTATTGTCAAATTTGTTTCACACAGATCCAAATTCCAAATGGTAAAAAATCGTAGAAGATTGAAAGGGTCTGGTATTGTGGTAGTAGAAGATCTTTCGATATAGTTATAATCAATGTTTGCCTGTTTGCTCATTTAAATATATATCAACTTTTAATTTTCTCAATTAGCTGATCGACACGCTTTTGATCCCGGGGCCTCACAGTAAGAAGGCCATTGCTTAGCCACTGAATCACGACTGTACGCAGCGGGGGCTATGGTACAAATACAAACAAACAAACAATGAAAATGCAATAAATTATCAATAATTCATTACATTTCCCCCGGTCCCCAACAGGAAAAAAATCCTCTGTAGGGTCATGCATTTTGGTTCAAGGCTTAAGTGGTTCCAACTCCGTGTATATAGTATACTTAGGCTCAATTCCCCCTGTGTGTTATTTTTTATGGTATTTAGTTGTCGTGAGAATATTGATGAAGTGTGATATTTGTGGTGAATGCCTGGGACAATCTATGCAAAGTAATTTTTGTGATGACTGTATAAATGGTGCGCCTTTTAAACATTTCATGATTGAATTCCATTTCAATTACTATATTTCTTCAAATGAAACAAGGATATCGATTATGATAATTCGGTAAATTCAATGTTTCTTAATCCTACGTCGGTCTATGAAGTTTTTAAAATATGCTCTACTTTAAATCCATCATAGTCATGCTGCTCTAGTGATTTATCACCCCGTGTTCTTAAAAGCTGTATGAATCTCTTTGTAGAACCACTAACTACTACCGTTACTCAGTCTTTTTTTTTTATGGAGTTATACCTGATGATAAAGGATTTTTAAAAGGAAAGAAAACAATATTTTGTTTATGTTAATGCAACTTCATTTGAAAAAAGAACTTGTATGTGGAGTGCCCTAAGGGTCAATAATCGGGCCACTGTTGTTTATTCTATATATAAACGATTTGCCAAATGTTTCCTCAACTTTGTCATACATTATTTTTGCAGACGATACCAATGTCTCTTTAAGCGAGAAGAAACTAGATACTCTTGTTCATAATATGAATAAAGAAATACAAAAGGTTAATATTTGGTACAAAGTGAATGGGTTAAGGATAAACATTGAGAAAACAAAGTGTATGCATTTTGCACCATTGAATAAACAATATGATAAGAACTTACTTACTCTTAAGTTTGTTGATTCACTAGAGCCCTTAAAGCAAGTGCATAGTGCCCGCTTCTTGGGAATTAATATTGATGACAAGTTATCATGGTCTTTACATATTAATGATATTGCATTGAAGATCTCGAGAATTACTGGAGTTTTGTCAAAACCGAAATTTGTATTACCGTCAAAAGTACTGCTTTTACTATACAATTCATTAATTCTACCCCATTTACAATATAGGAATATGCAATAGATAAATGCATCAAATACCTTGTTTAATCGTTTACATTTGTTGCAAAAACGTGTATTACGCATAGTTGCCAAGTCTCATTATTTGGCCTATACCAAAAATATCTTTAAACACTTAAGGGTTTTGACTGTATATCAATTAGGTAGGTTACAACTGGGATAATTTATGTACAGGTCTGAAAAGGGACTATTACCAAACTCTCTTCAAAACTGGTTTAGATGCAACAATGATGTACATTGTTATAACACCCGAAACTCCAAGAATTTGCATTTATTACAGACCTGCTACTGGCCAAAGAAGTGTCAAGTACCAGGGTTACCTTACATGGTCTGCTTTAGATGACAGTCTCAAACAATCCGCATCATTACGACAATTTAAATTGAAATATAAAAAATACCTCTGCAATTTTAAATAGTCATATCAATCTCAAAAATAATTATTATTATGTTTCAAATCGCAATTATGTTTTCATCGGGTCAATTTAATCTAATTATAAAACCAGACATTTGAAGGGAGAGTCCACCCTGAGGATGGGTTTACTCCGCCTTTACTTGGCCACACACATTCTCAGGGTGGACTTCCCCTTCATTGCTACCGGGGCTAGACTCGATAAGCTTCGCTTTTTCTAGCCCCATCTACATTACTCACCTCTTTATATTTTAATGTTGATGTTTGTTAACTGATGTAGATTTCCATTGTTATGCTTATGTATCTGTTTTTCATTTGCTCTATGTGTCAAATGTATAAAATGCATTTTCTTACTTTGTATATTCTTCTGGTTTTTAATGTGGAAAATAAATGAAATGAAATGAAAAAATGAAATGAACTGAAAGTATCTACATTTATTCCTATATTTAAAAAAAGGTAATAAAAGTGAAATGACTAATTACAAACCTACACCAGTACTACCAATCTTTGCAAAGTTACTTGAAAGACCTATTCATAAGAGTAGGTATAGCACACCGAAACTAAGTAAAACAAACACATATTGTTTGATGATTCCAAATGATCAACCTTTATGAAAGCTTCAACAACAAAAAAAAATAAAAAAAATAAATAAATTGGTCAATGCGTTGTGATTTTATACCATTTTTTTGAAATCGCAAAATTACCGAAAAACCTGCCAGAAATGGTCAAAATGGCAAAAATGGCAAAATTCGACAAAGTTGACAACTAAATTCATCACTTTCTTGGACACAAATAATAAATTAAATTATTAACCGTATCAGACATCTGAGCAGGGCAATTTTTTAAATGCCATTGCCCTCAAGGTTTGATGGATAAGCCAACAAAATTACAATATTTTAGCCCGCTCAGAAAAGTCAATGGGATTTTGTGTGTACTTTGCCGGTCAATATGGTTATACAGTAAACCAATGAACAAATATTTTAGCCTGCTCTGAAAAATCAATGGCAAAATGCGTGTTTAACTAGTGAGCAATAATTACCGTGTTTACACAGTGATCCGCATCGAGGGTTGAAGCCGGGTTGAAGCCGCGAGGGGATTGAAGCCGGGTTGAAGCCTGCAGTTTTATGTGTGTAAAACGGGATCCCAGTGAGGATTGAAGCCGGGTTGAAGCCGCCCCTTGAATCCACCAGAATTGCAGGTCTCAATCCACCTCGCAGCTTCAACCCTGCAATTTTATGTCGTGTAAACGGGATCTGATCCGCCTCGAGGGTTGAAGCCATGTGGGCTAACGCACAGTGGGCCAGAATCGCCTCAAAGTGTGCCAAAATTCAAAATTGGCGAATGTGAATTTTTTTCATTCGCTTGGGGAAGAAAACATTCTAAAGAATATTTTTCCACCCATATTTTAATATTCAGCGAGTTTTAAAAGTCTCATATACCCCTGCGAACATGGGAGAATCTATATGTTGCTCCAAAAAAAATGAAAGAGGCAACTTTACAATAGGTGTTGAGAATTTATGAAGGGAAAAGCAATCAACTTGATACTGCGTGCACTTCTTGTCTATTGGTAACCCAATTAGAAAATACAATGACCAAATTTATGGAAGCTTCATTTTGGGAAAAATGAGCATTTATTTTCACAAAAAAGGGAAAAAAAATTGCAATTTTTATATAAAAATAGCATGTTTATTAGGATTCCGGCCGATTCCCGCAGTGATGTTAAACTCAAAATGTCCGCCCAAACCTAAGCTTTTCATGTATGGTATTTTTTTTTTGCCAGAATGCGCAACACTGCATGTGCAGGCGTTTTTCCTCCTCACGTTCATCGGTTATTATTAGGCATAATTGGTACACATTTGTACTGTTTACGTTTACGCACAGCCGATTCAACGCTCGTCCGCGTAACCATGGCAACGGTTACGTGAGCGTAGAGCGTATAGCGTAGTGTATATTGCTTTCACACGTTGATGCAATTCGCAATCATATATGGTATCATTCTAGGAGAACTTGGATTGAAATAAACGATGGCGGTATTAAGAAGACAGCTTTTTCATGCTGTGCATTCAGCTGGCTTCATTTCAGACATCAAACTGGCATCCGAAACATCCATTGATGCATTATGTGCATATCATAATGTGGGTAACAAGTCAAACATCCCACAAAAACTTCTCGAGAGTTTGTCAAAGACTATTGGACGCTTTCTGTATCGTATGCGAGAGAAATAGAACAAGTGTGGTCGTTACCAGGAATATTTCATGAAAGAAAACGAGGACTGGCTTAATCAGACATTGACATTCAATACTGAAGTAGAAACATTTCTTGCACAGCAAAACAGCACAGATACCGGGACAGAAACAGAGCCAACTTCAGACTTGCCAGGCACGTCACAGGGCGCATCCAATGTGGGACGTCCAGCTAAAAATTCGTTCATTCAAGACAATGATTCTGCAGACAGTGACTCGTAATGAGAAGCAGAAGGTCCCATACATAGAGATATGGCAAAAACGTTTAAAACGTTCAAGGGTATTTCATATTTTTAAATCATAATCATTTATTTGATTATATTCCAAATCCCTTTGAACATCCTCTGAAATCAATCGATGTCTCATTCTTTAAATTCATATGGAAAGGGAAAGCCGATACAATAAAAAAAGAAAACAGGTAGTTTGTAAATACGAAAATAGTGGACTAAAAATAGTTGATGCCGGACACTTTTATAGAGAGAAATTTAACTCCTAAAAAGTTTCCCTAGTCAGTGTCATATGAATCTGTCTATGTGTTACAATGTATTTTAGCCTTTTCCAATCAGAAAACTGTATTTTAATGACGTGAGAGAAATTTTAAAATGCTCTAATAGTGTTTCTTAGGTCCAGAAACCCCTTATAACTTCCACTAATCAGTATAATATGAATCAGTCTATGCGTTACAATGAATACTTGCCTTGTCCAATTAGAAAACAGTATTTTAAAGACGTCAGAGAAATTTGAAAATGCTCCAATTGTGTTTTTTAGGTCCAGAAACCTCTTATAAGTTCCACTAATCAGTGTAATATGAATCTGTCTATGTATTACAATGCATATTTGCCTTGTCCAATCAGAATACAGTATTTTGATGACGTCACACGGATTTGAAAATACTCCCATCGAATTCTATGGGTTTGAAAATAGATACAATAACCAGGAACTTCATTAACCTTCTTCAATGAGAAATTAATTTTGGCACACTTTGAGGCGGTTCTGGCCCACTGTGCGACGTGAGCAGCCAATGAAAATGGTAGTAGGCCTACTGATATGCGCGCATAGCTTTCCTTTAAAGGGGCACGTTCCCGCCAGTGTAGTTATCGCTGCTCTAGTCATCGCCATCTTGGTTCCGAAGATCGACTTCTCATTTGCATACAGCTGTCAATCAAAGTACGCGCGGCCTGGCCTGCCTTCGCCAAGCCAGCTGATCGCTGCCGATAGTGACGTCACGAAAGTGGGTGGAAACAGCAGCTGAATCTTAGAGCCGAACTGCGATTGGTATGACTTCGGCACATGTATGCGATAATCGGCATTGTGCGAGCATTCGGAACATGCCATCTGCGTAAGGGCCGTATTCTGGTGGTGTCAATAGGCAGCTAGCACCGTCCGCCATCGGGTACATATTTTGAACGCCCTCTGGAATACGGGGAACATGCCCCTTTAAGCGCAACCTTAAAAGTATAAATAGGCCGCGCATATATGTTACTGGACCCCCAGCTGAAGCTGACGTAGGTCCAATTCCCCGCATTGTGACGTCATTGTGATCCGTCCGGCTCGAGGGTTGAAGCCGCCTTTTTTCACATTTGCGCGCTTTAGAGGCTTCAACCCAAAGACGTTTAAATATAATTACTAGACGGAAAGCAGCACGCGCGGAAACCATGCAGACGAATGGGATTAGGCTCCGCCTCTTTTGGATCATTTGAAGACAAAATAAGCGCCTGAGGCGGCTTTTTGATTGGATAAGTGCCTCATGAATATGTATTTTATCGATAGTGTCGTTTAAGAAACCGGATAATATATTTGACCTCATTGCGTCACTTTAATTATGCAGATTTATGCACGACGCTACTACACTCGCACAAAGTGAAAAGAGATAGTTCATTGAGAATGGGTGAGTAATTGATTGAAATATGAGTAGATTAATTGAATTTAGTCATTAATTTTGAAAAAGCTGCAATAGTCTTCGTGATGTACGGTAATTTCGTTACATTTAGAGACAGTTCTCAACAGATTTTTTTGGAAAAGACTAGTTAAAGGGATCCGGTAACTTTGTCTCAGATTCTGAAACGAAATTCTGGATTTAGCTCATGATGCAATGATAATTAAAAACCTTTAGGTCAGTCAGGAACCCCATTACTTTTACAAGCCGATCGCCTGTCCGATTATCAAGATATTTATGATTGGAATTACAAATTTTGAAAACCGTTCGCCTGACGGTTTTCATAACACTACAGTCTATTGGGGAAAACGAGTATGGTAAAACCGGTCACTCAAAGATTTTTACTTTTTTGAGGCACTTCTTGATCATTTTGAAGCGAGATTTTTTTAGGGCTTCAAAATTACACCATATCACAGACACTGATGACACGTAGGGCCGTGTATCTCAGATTTAACATTGTTAAACGATCCCTTTAAATATTGCTCTTGAAATTGCACTTTGATTTTCATCGCCATGAAGTAGTTTGACTGCGGTTTGCCGTCATTTCACCCTCGTACTCCAGTTAGGGCCCCGGGGTTCCGGCAGGCCCACCCCGGGGAATTTCGGTGCTCATTTGCATCAAGATCAAACTTTCTAATCAAGTTTTATTTCAGATTTGATCGTCATCATGAATCTAATTCACCAATCACCGTTTTAATTTAAATCTAGATTTAACGTTACACCTTAAAATAATCTACGAGGCATGATTTTTTTGATAATCCAAGTAGATTAATTCTTGTTAAAATCTTTAGTAGATGTGGACTCTGATGGCTTTACTTATCAATATCGGTGCCATCCGTTCGCTCAGTTGCATCATCGGTACGCGGTGCGTGTCATCTTTATTTCGACCAAAATTATCTGTGACCATTGATAATCAAACAACTCCAAATCCTATTCATTTAGATGTAGATCTAAACCTGAAACTTATTAATAAAATATATTTAATAAACATCAACACTAGGATTTGTTTATTTAATATTTAGATTTTGTGTGGGTCCAGCGTGCTTGTCAAGTTGTCATTATTTATACTAGAGTCTAGACCTAGGCCTACTACTAGTACTCGATATAGATCTAGATCTAGACCCAAGCTATCAGTGGCGTACGCAGGATTTTTTCAAGGGGGGGGGGGGGGTTAACATTTTGAAATCGGGCCAAAAACTTCGCAACGACCCAGCCAGCCGCTGAATAGGCGGGGGGGGGGGGGGGGGGGGGGTAAGAGGACTTTTTTTTGGGGGGGGGGGGGAGTTAAGAGGACTTTGGGGGGGGGGAGTCATCTTTTTTAGGTCATCCATTATGATTGTTTGTTTGTTTGTTTTTTTATTAAAAAAAAAATCAACACTCAAAAAAAGAGGGTGGGGGGGGGGGGGGGGTTCCAGAAAAACATACAAATAAATCTTTTTGTTTGTGTAAGAGAAGACCCCTAGTCCACAATTATGTTTACTTATGTAGTCCACTTCTTCTCGTCTTAATAAACCAATTCTACTTAAAGGCCCGGTCCCACTGGCCGATGGACACAAAACGTATGCATAAAGGACACAGCGGACGAGCAAAATTTCGGGGGTGGCTCCATCCGTTTTCATCCGCTCCAGAAATGGACAAAATTGGCGAAAACAGAACGGAAAATAACGGACGTGTGTAGTATGTAGCGGGTATGTTAAACGGATGTTCTTTGGAAGCCTAGCGGATGAAAGCGGATGGAAGTGGATTACAGCTTCGAATACTTTATATACGAGATGCATACGCTTACATCCTTTCTATTTCCATGCTACTAACGGTGTATAGACGTTCCATGTACCTTATCTTTCCTCCCTCTTTCCGTTTTCAGCTGCAGCGGATGTGAGTTGCGAGGATGCCCAGGGGATCCAGAGAGGATACAGCGGACGTTTAACGGATGATAACGGACATAGAACGTTTGTTGCTCGTATTTGTCGCGGATTTACATCGTATACGGCGGAAGTTCATCCGTTCTGAAAGTTTTGTGCAGCTCAAAACTTTTTGCGCGGATGAAATCACAGTGGACGGATGCTCGATGGATAGAGCGTATGAAACACGTATGCAATGAGTACACAACGGATGCATAGCGTTTTCCAACGGGTGGCAAGATTTTTTACGTTTTACATCCTCTTTGCATTCGTAAGTGCAGTGGGACCGGGCCTTAAGACTACTTTATATGTAAAGGCCGTATAAAGCCCATTTTTGAGGCACAAGTTACATCTTCCATTTAATTTTAATTTGTACTGTGGTCCATTAAATTGGAAGGTTGATTTCCACACCATATTAAAATTAAGGCCAACCAGAACATGAAAAAAAGCTTTCATGCTAGATATATTCTTATTTTGTTAAGGAGAAAGGGACGCCTTGATTGTCATATTAATTTTGTTTTCTTTTTGTTCCAACAGATTGAAACTGATGAAGAGCTGGAAGGAGTTAACTGATGAGTAGACATTACAACATTTCTTATATTTGCAAGATGAAGCTGAAAGTCCCATGCAGGTAAAATTTTCAGGATATTTAGCACACAAATATTAAACGACCACCTATTCATTCATTAAAAAGGAAATGGAACTAAGTTTATGTTGCAGGTGTATATAGTGGAGGGGATATTATAGTATTAATAACTGCTTTGAGAGAAATAGTTGTTTTTATACGCTCAAGGGAAGGTTAGAATTGTGCTATTGCCCGAGGCGTGCCGAGGGCAATAGCCAAATTGTAACCTTCCCGAGAGCGTATAAAAACAACTAATTCTCGAATATTAAAGCAGTCATTAATACTTTTATATGCCAAAAAAAAAAAGGAGTCAACTTATGACACCACCTTTTATCTGCACGGTTGTTTTTTATGAGTGTATCTTTGAGAGTAGACTAAAAAATAAAAAATAAGAATATTTTTTGTTTGTCGAAGATGGGATACGATCTCTAGCGTACCAACGATGATGTGACTATAATCACAGCCTTAGACCGCTCGGCCATCGCGCATTTATTACATACCATGTAGTTTTCTCTGATGTATACATTAAAATGGATTGAAAACGGCTTCGCATGCTGGATGCTTCGCGGTAGCTCCATTAAACGGGCCCTTCTTTTACTTTTGCAATTGGCACGAACTTAGATCAAGATCTATCGGCAGATGTTGTTTTTGGAAGTTTATTTTCGTCTTCTTATCAACAATGCAAGATAAAATTGTCGGTAAGATCGATCAAGATTCAATTGTATTGAAATTACCGACCAATTCATCGCACACGTACACTGTACGGTATCCTCGATCGCTCAGACCTTTTTTTAACACGTGAACCTATGGGTATTTCACCAAGACTGAACTATTTTCCCAGAAACCATGGTAACTGGGATTTTAGAACTATTTTTTAAAAACTATTACATGGGTTTTATTTTACCGGGAATTTTACAGGAATAGTTAAAGTTTATGAATGCAATTTCGACCAATCAGATGGCTGGATTTCTTAAGTGAGGTATATAATTTATTCTAGTTCTTCCCTTTCTTTGTTTATAAAGGGATTTGTCCTTATTTACAGGAGGTCCTGTGTGTAGAAGAACGATGTCTAATGCACATTCAAAGCACTACATAATAATAATGATCATACATGTAGGGTATACACAGGACCCCTCATTACTTTTTTTTGTAAGTGGTCCTTTCACTTCTTGAGCAATGAAGATGAAGAAGAACACAACATAAGATTAATGAAAGTCTGTTTATAGGATGTATTATGGTTGATATGTATGTATTATTATCACTTTTTAATTGAAGTACCTACATTGTTTTCTCTTATGTAGGATGATGCTTCTCTACAGTGGATGATGAAGGCATGCTGATTACAAACCCAGGAGAGGAACAAAGAACATATATTGACAGAATCACTATATCTAGAGATGCGGGCTATCGGGTTATCATTACAGCCCTTTCTTCTGAAAACTAGGCTACAACTTTATTGATGAATGCAGGAGACATCTACATGGGACTACGTCTTGAAGATGCCACCCTCATATAATGAAAGAGGACAGTAGAGATGGGTTTAAACTTGAATATTTACATGATATTTATTTATTATTTGTATTATATGTTTGTAGAATACCACATTCAATAAAGCTAATGAATTTATCATCATGTCAACTTTCAAATAATTAAAGATAACTAATCATCAATGAATAAACATTAACATTTTAACAATGTCAACTACCATCTTATAGGAGGACTGGGTCGAAAGATTCTCCTTGAAATTTGAGTGATAAAGATCTACCAGTCTATATCAAAGATTGAATTAATCAATGATATTTTAATTATAATTATACATGTTGAAATTCATTTACCTCTATGGACTTCTGAATTTTAGAGGATTTGTAGAGTATTACATTATTGCAGTATAATGCTGCTTCAAGTATTGTATGTAAGAAGGTTTGAAAGTCAACCCTCTAAATGCATTAAATATAGAAAGACATAGACAGACTGCCATTTCATCATTGCCTTTCGTATCCAAACTACTATTTTTTTTTTATAGAATCATGTTTTGATACTTCTTAACTTAAGAAAACAGGGGGGGGGGTGGGCTTGCAATCCTCTTCCTGGTGCTGTTTCTACATGGACCATGTACATAATGTAACTGGTTGCAAAAGTGTAAACAATATTATATTTATCATATGTTTATATTAGAAGGATTTAGAAAGTGAAACATTTTGAATTATAGCATTTATGTTGCTAGAAGTAATAATATAAGTATGATTGCAGTGTTTATTGTTAAGGGAAAGGGATGGTTTCCAAGTGAAATTAACAGTAGGCCTATACCAATGTTAAATTAATAAAAAAAAGAGAAATTATTCTTTAAAATAAAAATTATGCAGGACATGGGCTTCCTAACTAAAACCCTGGTACCACTTTTGGGCTGTTGTTGATTTTCTTTAGGGCCGGGGGGGGGGGGGGGGTGGCAGGCAACCCGGCCAATTCAAAATTTTCAGTGTTAAATTCAATTGTCTTTCAAAAAAAGAAATCATTTATGTCAAGATGAAATTAAACAATTAATGTTCACTTCCCTTTTTTCAAGTTGGAACATTTGAATAAAATGATTAACATACTTTCCGATCTCTCTGCATGGTCTCTACGTTAAAAATGTTCAAAGCTCCTGCAAAGGCTGCAAAAAGGAGAAGTGAATAGAATCCAAGTGAAATGTGGAGGGTAATGGAGTGAATATAAAATGGTCGATCGTAGTTGATAGCGAGTGCATGCAAATGAGTGGTAATAACAAGTACGACTGAAAGTGAGACAGAAAGGAATTGTAACAGGTTGTTCAGTAAAGAGAACACAACTTGCAGACGATATTTTTCGAAAGATGGAGAAAGAGAGAGAAAGGGAATTTTTAAGGTCACGATGAGAGTGGATGGGGAAAATCCATCTACTGTGCCACATAATTTGTTTGTCTAAAATAAGGAAACTTAATACATCGGCATATTTAAAATGTATAATCATAGCCAGATAATGTGTTGAAAATGGATGTTTATTATCATTTTTTGGTCAATAAAGAGATTTTCAGAAAAATCTAATGCTGGAATATTAATAAGTAGAGGTGTAATAATGTTTAAATTAGTTGGCGTAAATATTCATAAATGAATGATCCATGCCATTAAAACTCAAACAACACAACAACGATTGGAACTTTAAGGTCCACTTCCCAGATGCATCCTGGGTACACCAGCTGTTTTACTGGTGATCGATAATACACGTTCGAGCGCGTATTTCACCTAACGGTGATCGCATCAGAATAATCCATGCTGATTCGCTGAATCACTTGCGTTGCTAGCGCGCAGCGTGATGAATAAATTACCCATAATTCCGTACAGTAGATTATTTGACCTCTCCAATTACGCTGATACGCGCATTGTCTTTTACCATCTAGTGAACATCATTCCAGTACACTTTTCGCGGGGAGCATCCTACAGAATGCATAATTCATAAAGCTCATGAATTATGCAAGGGGCTTATTTTGGCTTCTAATGGATCCGGACAAAATGGCGGAGCTTGGGGGGCCTGCTTCAACCCCCTCGCGGCTTTCAATCCTCGAGGCGGATCACTAGGCGGTGTCACACAGAGGCCAAAAATCCAGATTTTAAATATCCGGTTTTTAATTATCCTCTTTTGGCTGTCTGACATCAATTATCCCTTCAAAAATTCCTTCAAAAGTCCCTTTAAAAAACGTCATATGAAGCAAGATAATTCTCTCTTGAAAGGATTTTTCAAGGGTTTTTTGAAGGGATTTTTCTGTCTGACATCAATGTTGAAATAATCCCTTTTAATAAGCATTGTGACATCACACATTTAAATGCGCGCATTTAAATGTGTGATGTCACAATGCTTATTTACCTAAACGGCGCATATACTTTCGATTGAACGTGTGATGTCACAATGCTTATCTACCTAAACGGCGCATACTTTCGATTGAACGTGTAATGTCACAATGCTTATCTCCCTAAACGGCGCGTGCGTAATGGCCCATCAAAAATCCGGATTTTAGTTATCCGGATTATTCGTAGCCTGTCTGTCACCGACTCAAATGAAAAAAACTAGATTTCTAAAATCTGGTTTATTCAAGATGGGTCGGGATTTTTCTGTGTGACACCGCCTACTATGTAAACACGGTAAATATAGAGCCAGTTGTAATTTACATCGCGCATCAGCTACTGTAATTTACATCGCGCATCGTGTATAAAAAAAATGCGCACTTTGCGCCAACTCTATTGTGACGTAACAATCAAACCCTAGGCAAACTGTTTGCAGTGTTTCGAAAATCTGTCAAACACTGGATGAACAGTGCTGGTTTGACAATGTTTTTGCAACTTCTAATGCTAGGAAACCCTGTGTAGCCAACATAATTTAAGAGTATAAGATAGTAAGAGTTTCTTGTTTGCTCTAGATGTCTGATGTGGTTAATAATAGTAATATTGACTGCCTAATTCAGGGCAATACGACTTGTCATATATCACCCTCACCTTCGGTTCGGGCGATATATGTCGTATTGCCCAGAAGGCAGTCAATATTACTTAATTATCAGACACTAAAATATCATCTTTGTGGTAAAAAACCCAGAAAATTCATATATCTATTACTGTTTTGATAACAGAAGCCAACAAAATAAGTCATTTTTGCCATTTTTGCGAATCTGCAGATATGAAAGAGTTGTGAAAATAACCAAGTCCGCCTAATTAATATGCGCATATGCAATCCAATCAAAACCGAACATGATACATCAGTGAAACCTATGTATATCAGACAGGTATGAAAATATATTTTCACTCGCACCAGAAAGCCCGACCACATCACTCCAGTCATCCGCACCCTACATTGGCTCTTAATTCCCCAACGTATCCAATTCAAAATCCTTCTCGTCAAGTTCAACATCATCCATCATCGCGCACCGTCATACCTGATTGAACTGATCTCACCCAAAAAGACTACCGGCATGAGCCTTAGATCATCATCCAGACCCAGCTCGCACTTGTTCCTCGCACCCACAGCCGCTATGGTGACAGGGCCTTCTCAGTCTGTGCCCCCACTCTTTGGAACACTCTCCCCGCCTATATGCAGGACTCACCCACCATTGACATTTTCAAAAACAATCTAAAAACGTAGCTATTCCAAAAGCAACCCAAATAACTATAAAGTAAGTTCGAATAAATATTACCATGCCTTCATTATGTCTTTTCAAATTATTGCTATTTCTGATATAATGATATAATTTGTTAATTTCCAAGGAATTTACATGGTTTTGTTAATTTCGTTAGTAATGTTTGATCTTTTTGTTAATTTAAGTAATGATAATTTGTTAAGTTATGTTAGTCACATTTTGTTTTCGTGGTAATTTTAGTAATGTTAATTCCATTAGTAATATGGATTTTTTGTTTGCGGTAATTTTGATTTGTGAACATGTACGGCGCTTTAAAACTTTTGTCACAAGCGCTTTGTAAATTGTTCATATTATGATTATTATTATTAACAAATAAAAAATCATGAATATTCATCAAAAATGCAAATTAGGTCATTTCAGCTATATATATATATATATATATATATATATATAGGAAAGTCAAACTGTTCATTTTGTTCGCATTTTAACAATCATATATTTATAGATCATATTTACACCAAATATTAACATTAAATTCCAAATATTTGTGCAATGCCAATAAAATATGGCGATGGAAATTACTTGGATCACCGTCACAGCTATTTCCTGATGTGTTTCACAAATTATTCAGAAAAACCGATCAAATGATAAGAATTTGAAGACTTTCAGCTACATCACAATATATTTTTCTTTTTAAAAGATGTAATATTTGAGGATTTATGACATTTTTCCGAGAAATTATTCAACAGGCCATAACATTCCACAGGGACTGAATTTTAGATTAAAAAAAGTTTGGTGACACCAGTACAGTTGTGGCTACCTTGAATGTACACAAACAAATGATTCAATGAGTGAAACACATGAGGATATTGCATTTTTTGTAGGAGAGTTTTGTACATTGAGGTGCTTTTTCACTACGCAGAATAACAATGCAAGTCAATGGGCAATCAGCGGGCCATGTCACACATGGCTGAAAAGACAATATTCTAATTAAATTATTTAACGCATTTCCCACATGCCTATATACACAGAATTGTAGTTAAAGGTATGCTTGAAATATATGTGAAATAAAATTTTAAAATATTGTTTAGTTTAATTTTTTTTTTTTTACTAAAATTGCTATTTCTACCAACTGACTACTGTTGTGTGTGTGTGTGTGTGTGTGTGTTCGCGGGGCAGACTGTGTGCACAGGCAGTATGATCACCCTAATAAGAGACTTTATTCATTTCTA